TGTCCGATGATCCTTCTTTTTATCAAAATCGAATTTTACAACTGGGATGTCATCTGGGGGATCAGGTGTCAAGGGCCTTGTTTTCTTTTGTACTCTTGCTTTTAAGGACGCGACAAACTGCACTGCCATCATTGGGTCGGCGATAGAATATGAACGATTTCGTTTTCGAACTGGTTCTCTTGGCTGACATTCGCGAATCGCTTCGTTATCGGAAAAGGGCTCAAGGTTCTCTTGAGATGGCAATTCTTCTTCTTCCGGAATAGTGATATCTATGTCGACAAGTGATTTCTCCGAAGACGAACGCCTGCGTTGCAACAAAATCTGAGGTAAATTGCTGCGCTTTTCTAAAAGCTTCCCGCCAGTATAGCTTGCTAAAGCCGAGAGATCCACAGAATTACTCCGTCCTCGCCGTAGTCTTGGGGGCGGGGGAGGATCTACGCTAGTATCGGAAGCGCCGCTGTCAGAAACGTCCGTGCTTCTTTTCACTTTCTCTTTGAATTCCTCCATTTCTTTATCAAAAGCTTCATTTTCGTAATTTGATTCTTTGAAATCAGGAATTTCTTTGCCAGAGTTTGTGCGATCTTTGGCTTTAGCACTCGAGCCATTTTTCCTTTTTTGAGGGGCATCCGACGCCTCAGCACAAGCGAGGGCTCGTCGCCTAGGCTTTCGTCTCACCTTCGAAGTGACTGGATCCATTTTCTCGTCTTCGGTCTCCGAATGGTCGCCCTGCGTATTTTGATTATCGTTTTTTCGTGGATCCGAATCTACCTGATCCTCAAACGTATTTTCGGGGCTGCTCGCATCCGTTTCTACTGTGTCTGAATTTTTCAGCTTATCATTTACATATATTTCTGATGAAGAAGTATTGTCATCCAAGTTAGAGATATCGTGCTTTTTATGGTGCGTCATTAATTTTTGTCGCCTGTTGCGTCGTGTAGGTAAAGGAGAGTGGGCTTCGTTATCGGCATCGTAATTTTCCTGGGAGTTCCCGACCGAGAGGGCAGCCTGATTCTTATTTGGCACTAGTTTTGTGATAAACGTTTCGTCTGGCTTTGTGTCATCCTGGTGTGTATTTTTCACAGTGCGCGTGATGTCAATAGGGGTGCCTAGTCTTGGACTTATTGGCGGTTTTCCTGGATAGAAGCCAGTCGTGTCGTCCAGGTGACTCACAGCGATGGAGTGCCTCCTTCCTGCCCCCCTTGAAGCCCCCGTTGGTGCTAGAGAGTTCAAACTTGCCAATTGTTTTCTCATGTTTCTTTCTTCGACACTAAGACCCTTTAAAGTTCTTTTATACTCCCTTTCAACTTCCTTTGTCACTCTCTCTTGCTGTCTCTCTGCCAAATGGTGTTGCTGCACCATTCGTTTCAGGTTGTCGGGTCGCCCTAAGAATTTGTCCGCTAGAGACTTCATACTGGCGTTTCCGGGGTCGTCCTTTTTCCCCATCTTGCAATGTGATGTCTTGTGATAGCAAACTTCTGGTTTTCTCTTTAAATTGTCCTACTGCTGTCTGTCTCGTCAGCGCCTGTAATTGTTGGCGGAATTACATTTTGGTTATTTGGACATTTAATACAAAAAATGTCAAGTATACATTAAAAAACTCGCCATGTTTTGGACCTCTAAGAGCGTGCCCTGCCACGTGTGGTTGCAACGAGCGAATGTCGTATTTCCCTTTTGTTTCAACTCTAGCAGCTGGTTTTAAAGCTTGACCACTCTGAAAGGGTTGAGCAGGTGCGCGCTGACCATAGGTCAATGGCGTCCAAGATCCTAGACCCTGGTTCAGGACATTTATGAACTGCAACTTCGTATCAATCTAAGGCCTTAAATCAAAACAACTTAAACGTGACTAATATGCTTTATGCATTTCGATTCATAATACAAAACTGACCCCAAAAAACACAATCTTCGCTCACGTTCCTAAATGAAAGGCATATTTGTTTTCGGCGGAATTGAAGTTTGTTAAAGTTTAATAATAAGTTTACTTTGCGTAACTGTATAAATTGCCGGGTTTGTCTCATTCGAATACAAAATGCGCGGATAAATATTATTCACTGAACCTAGACAACGAATAAATGAGGTCCCGAATTCAGACCCACTTATTGTTGAATAAGCGAACGTAAATAATTACCACAATTTTCCTTAGAATGTGCATAGTTACATTGAACAATGTGCACTATTGAATATTGATGACTTTGGTTATATTGAATAAGTTAAATTTAGACATATAGCCAACCAACCTGTTGTAATGTTTAGCATTAAATATATAGTTTTTATTACAAAAACCAGTTCATATTATGAATAAAATGTATTGGATTTTGACCAAAAAAAATCCATTGAATGGTGGTCCCTATTTTGGAAACATAGGTTATAGGGCTATTTAAAATATAAAACCACAGAAATAAAACATTTCAGCAGCTCGAGCAATGCTTATGAATGATTATGAAATGTAGTCGTTTGTTTTCTTCGGCGAACTAAATCTTAATCAGTTGATTTAATACAGCAAGGCTTAAAATTGTCGAAATATATGAATTTGTATGTGAAATATAAAAATCTTGATATATTGATAGATAATTACTTTGATGAATATCTCAAGTACAAGTTTAAATTGACGACTCTGCGGATGCTGATTTCAGCGCCTTTTATATAAGTTACGTTCGTTTACGGACTCGATGCAACCAAGAATAATAATCACCAATCGAATAACACCATTGGAAAATCAAAATAATAAACTGGTTATGCAGTTCTGAAATGCTGAGTTATGCTTACTAAAGCGCAAGATCATCCAGCTCTGTTCTGGAAGTACACGGCCAGTGCACACAGTCAATTGGCCAGTTGGTGATTTTTGTGCTCAAGAACGAAACATTCTGGTACAACAGACAGCCTCCGGGTAAGGGATAAAAAGGGCACCACCTGCGCCCCGATTTCTGACCAAAAAAGGTTAATCACAAGCATGATATTCTTGCATCTTTTTCCTTAATGAACATACATTTTTATCGCATTTTTATAGTTTTCTTTTCATGCCAACTTCATTTTACACATACTGTTTTTTTAAACAATTTTTAAAGCTCTATTCGTTCGATGGGAAAGGAATTCATTAGCATTTCTTTCTTTTATGAGGCTCTTCGCATACAATCATTTTGACATCTTTTTTTCTTTTTTTTCCTTTCTTTTCTTTTTTTGACCTTGTAAGAGTTTAAATATTGCAGACTCAAGGTGATCAATCGCAAATATTTTTCAATTCAGGCACAAATGTTATCCGCTTTACCTTAAAATTATACTCTCAAGCAACCACCTCATTGAAACAGTTTTCAGGCGGCGTTTGTTCTCGTTCAGATTATTTGTTTGAGTTTTCGTCTTTAATTAATGGACAAGAAGACGTAAGATTGAATCGAATCATAAATTGCAATGTAAAAGTCTCCGATAAAAAGAAATTTCAATTTATATAAAATGTTGTTAATTCCAAGTTACCGTTATAAAATGTAGTCTTACCTTGTACATAGCTTCCGAGACTACACTGTATGAGTGCTACTCGTGATATAGTAAGAGAGCTTCATTGACAAGGTCACTCATCTTTATTGCATACCAGAATCAATAATCTCAAGATGCCACGTATTACATATTTGTCAGCTTTCCCCCATGAGGGAGAATTTCATCATTGTGCTCGTTCAGGCTCAACTAAAACAATTGTTTGCCCATAGCGACAGGAACTTGTTTGCAAATGTACTGGTATAACGGGTTTTATAGTCTTTCAAATAGAATCAGTGCCTTTTGATATATCGTTCCTCCGATTATAGGACTTTCAGAAAAGATTGTACGTTAATCAAATGAAACATGACGATTTATTCTACAGAGAAAATGTGTATTGAAGAAAACGCAAGGTATATCTAAGAGACAGGAATTGGAATAACCATAATTGTCATAATAGGATAAACTGTAAAATCAATGACTGGGTCCTTGTCAGGATGCTAGCAAAAGCCATCGTTAGAGTGAAAGCCAAGCCAAAATTTTCTACCTAGAACAAAGAAAAACAGACTTTTTTCTGCTATTCTTTCCAACTATTTGATGTTATGTTTGTTATGGGACCGCAGCATCTGGCGGATTGAGGTCAAGATAAAAGGCCAGACGATGTGAAAGTCATACCATGTTGTTAACAGCACGTACATCAGTCTGTTAACCTTATGCAACTAGCCCGCGAACGTCAGAAAGTATTTGTATACAATTTATACAAGCGTTTGCTATCTTTCTTGGCTCTACTGTACTGATAGAGTGTAATATGGCTCTGTGTAGAACAACCTCAAACTCTCAGCCCAGTGTTGTTCACTCTAGCAGATCCAGGTTACAATATCGGCAGTTTATTGGTAAAGGCTCGCCTCTCTCTCTCTCTCTCTCTCTCTCTCTCCTGTAATACCCCCCCTCTCTCTCTCTCTCTCTCTCTCTGTTTGTGTGTGAGTGTGTGTGCGCGCGTTTACATCATGAAACGTAAGTAAGCTCAATTACTGAATGACAGCCTTAGTTTAAAATACAAGTCTTGATACATTAGCTCAGATTACACCTCACTTATCACTGGCATTCCTGGGGGAATTCACGCTGTTGATTTGTCTCCTAACGATGCATTTGTTCAGCATTGCGAGTATAATGTAATGTAGAATGAAAGCTTTTAATGTCATTTAGAATAATCCACGGTAATTGAACTGTGTTTATGAAGGTAGACAGATTCAGTGCATCTCATCTCATCCATTCTTAAATGTAGGTGACTGGATGGAGAGAGATCCACATGTCTCAGCTAGATATAGCTCTGTGACATCGTTGACAGAGAAAAAAAAGCAATAAATATAGGCATATACCAAAGGATAACACATCTGACATTTCATTTTCATTTACATTATTTTTTTTTCTCGATGAAGTCTGTTTAAGTAACTGCACTTAAAGGATAGTTTACACACAGCATCGAGGTCGCTGTGCACCGTGATCGACGAAAACATTTACTACAAAACATGGTTTATTTCACTTATATCTTTATTCCTACAGTTTCAGATGACAAATATATCTGCTTTGAATTTTGGACCATAAAGGTGCAGAACAGAGAAAAAATGTTGGCACATTTTTTTCACACAAAGTGACGTCATTAGGACAGATCCGTGCTCGTTTAATGTAGAAAAGGGAGTCGACCTGCAGAAACAACTGGACACAGGATGTATGTTACATAGCAGACTATTTTAGATGACCTCAGTCCGCCTTAAGTTAACACAAGCTTGCCCTTAGTTTTCAGCTCAGCTGTCGATATCTTGCGGGCCACTATGACTGGGAGACAGATGTGAATAACGAGGTCTACACGTCTGATATTCCAACTGAATAGAAAATAAGGATGGTTAAGTCAAACAACTATAAGTTAGGAAATATCAAGAACAGATCAACGCATTAATATTATTGTCTTACGTTCATAATGCAATCAGATTTAACTTGCCGTTGGAATAGCGTCAAAGTGCATTACTACATACGGTAAGCCCGTGTCAGCGTGTGCATGGGTTGCTAATACAGTCCAACGTCTGCTTGGAGCTAGACTAATCCAATTTTGTTGCAACATGGGAGTGATCTAATGTCAATGCACATTATCACACAAACGGAAACTGTTTTAGATTCTGATATCCCGTGTATACATATCATAGCCGGTATATTTCAACGTGAAAAATCAATATGTGTAAATAGTGAAGCTTGCTACTCATAATTATTTCCCAAAGTAAGACTTTTTAAGGGAGTAAAGCCCATTAGATGAAGTAAAGCCAATCTTAAGCGTTAACAATTTGAATGCTAAATTCTTGTGAGAGATGTAGACGGTTATCGAATCAGCTTCATTCTTAGCAAACGCTCTTTAAATTTTAAGTCCCCGAAAGAGCAATAAAACTCATTCATACACGAGAATGAAAACCAGAATGTTTTTGAAATGGGTTCGTAATAAAATGGTTCGGTGAATGCTGGAAGTCACATCGGCTCTGCTTGACATCTCCCGAAATCGAATGAGTGAACCGTTTCATATCTGACCTCATCATAGCATACAAGCATCATACAGTCAGAGGTCAGCCATATTAACAGAACGTCATGAATGTTTGACTACCACCTTCATCAAACCAAGCCCAGATCCAGATCGGTCACTTTCAGTCTGCTTTTTCTATCTTTGTTCAAGATGAAACTACACAATGATGTACAGATATCTATAATCTCTAATTAAGCTATAAAATAATAATAAACCATAATTAATTGAGCAAATCAGACCCACATATCTGCCAATGAATTTCTAAGTTTGCTGCACGCGTTCAATTCACCGTTGGTCGAAATCTATGACGTCATCACACCAATTAACGGTGCATCAGTCATTGGGCTGCATGTTATAAGTACCATCCACCACAAATCAGGCGGGAAATTATACCCATGCACAATTATATCCAAATGAAAAAATAAAAATAACTTATTCAACTGAATCTAAAATGAAAAAATAATAATAATAACGTTCTCTATTAAAATGACTATGCAATAATTATAGTTACGATACTATGCTTGTTTATGTTGTTCTGGTGCATTAAACTACCATGTCCGCCGCTAGAGGGGCATTGTGGAGTAATAGGTGAGGGACCGTTCCATGGCTTCCCCTGGAGTGAAGATAGGCCTATAGCCCAATACTTCCCGCGCCTGGGAACCGTTGTAAAAAGCAGTAGTGCAGCATAGCGCGACTTCTTCCTTGTTAACAAGCAGAGGAATCTTCACCAGAGGGGAGAGCAGCCAGATTAGTAACTCCATTAAGGCCCAGAAGTAGTACACCACTACGAAGGGGATTCTCACAGGTAAGAGCTCGATTTGCCTTGCTTCCAAGAAGGGTTTCATAAAGGTGAAATTGTCGCATATTGGAGTGTCGTCTGTAATAAGATAAGCCTTGCCGCATACGCCCGGGTCCTTACGTGTCATGGCCGCGAGGGCGACCACGTGGGCCCATGCGACGTTCCCCACGTAAACGCGTTGAATTTTGGCGTCCGCTGAGCCAAGAGCTGGGAGGTAACCGTAAAACAACTTACGCCCGGTACGTATAACGGTGGTGACATACATTGAATCTCCTTCGCCGTACAGACCGCAGGGCCGCAAGGAAACGGTGGCAAGCTTGTTCCCGTTTTGAAGCCGGTGGCCGTTGGCAAGGAGCACCATCTTTTCAGCCTCCTCCTTACTTGTCGAGTACCCGTTCAGAATGATCTTGTTGTGCTTATGTTTGATCTTCTCGTCCACGTCGTCTTCGTTTGCATTGACAATCGGGTCGAAGGTTCTTCCCAGTTCTGAGCTGGACGTATAGATCAAGCGGTCGATGTTGTGTGCGACGCATGCTTTAATGATGTTGGCGGTCCCTGAGAAAATTGAATCACATCACTGTAAAACTGCTTTAATTGTGGAATCATTGTATCTCTACATCTTGCTTAATTTAGATAATCATACATGTAATCATAATCATGATGAACGATTTTAAAGAATATAATGAGATGGAGTGAAAAAGGTGATATTTTCTTTAACGTACATGAAATTAAAAATACATTAATATGATATTGAATACTTCACAGGCTGTGATGTTTAAGATGCGGCATAAGTTTATTTAATTTAGGTGACTTTAGTGAAAAAAAATCCGTATATAGCCCTGTTCAAATACTATAACCTGCTTTTGTTTAAAATATGGCCACATGACAAAAAAACTGGTCAATTCGGTGCCCACTTTGCAAACCAAAACAGACCTATAGTGCTACCTTAGTTTTTATAGATTTTTGTCCACACTTGTGGTTCAAAGAAGACTATCTCAAATACGGCATTAGCCAAAAATATCAGAAGTCAAGTTGATTTATCCCGAAAAAGAGGATACAAACGGATTACCTTGTACGTTAATTCTTTTCAACTTCTCTACATCTTGCCTGTGACTGGTATCTATAAGGGAGGCGCAGTGGATGACCGCATTGACACCCTGGAACGATCTCTCTATGTCGCGTAGATTGGTGATATCTCCCTTGACGAACTTCAACTGTATTTTCGGATTTTCTGTGAAATTTAGAGGTGATATGATTACATGGCAGCTAAAGTTTGGTGAAATGTATTGTTTTTTGTACGTGTGCGTGTAAGTTTATATGAGAGCGAGACTGTGTGTTTGTGCGCGCGCGTGTACGTGTCGCGCGTCTTCATTTGTGCGTAAGCGTTATTTCTATATTACCACAGCATTTCATAACTAGGTAGAAAAATGCAAAGTTTCCATTAATATGCATTTTAAACAAACGAAAAGAAAAGAAAAAAGATGGTATCGCAAATGTAAATTACCATCATTAAACATGACAATTTCCTAACAGCACTCAACTACGTGCAAATTTTTCCGTCCGTCCGTCCGTAATAATTTACGTAAGATTCCCACTTACCAGTAAAGGAAAACGACTTCGGTCTATCTTGAATGTCTAGAACCCGTATTTCAGTAATTCCTTCACTCTTTTCCAACAATAAATTGATAATGTGGCGACCAAGGAAACCGCATCCACCGAGGACAAGGACTACATCACTGTGAGCACCGTTGCTGAGCATAACTGAAATTGAACAAATATTTTATATATTCACAGTACTGTCCATGAGGTAAGCATCGGTAGTGTCATGACGCGGGGATATGCTAACCACAAATAATTAACACATTGTTTCCAAATTACCTTTGTTTCAAAGTCTTCCTTGGTGATGTGATAACGAAAATGTAGCAATCTCAGTAGCCTCACTTATGAATGCATCGGTTTATACTTCTGTTCTTTTTGTTGGTATTGGATTGGGGGAAGTATTGTGTAGAAGGTACTCTCGAATAAATCCACTTCTGGCTGATATAGATAACGTTAATTTATATAACTAGTTATGAAAAGTGTTACGCTGAGAGACACCTACGCGGATAGACACTGGTGACGAGTAAACGAACAGATTCAAAAGTGTCTGTACATAAAAAAATTAAGTAACATCTTTTTCGAATGAGCAGTATGTAGACTAATGGTAGCGGCACTTTGAGTATAAATTGTGAAATGATTTGGCCAAAGATTTTGCTCGAAGTCAGATGACATATTAAGTTCATATGAAACTGTACTTAATAATTAAAATCAAGATAGCAGACGCACTCCGATCGATACAGCTAGTCAGGTGCTGTTGAGATTCAATTAGCATATATTAGACATCCCGAGTTTACAATTAAAATGTTACAGGCATTGTAAACTTATGCTGGAAAAACTATTTCAGATTTATATTGTAAATTCGTCACAATTTAGGTTTATATATTAACTGCGCCATATATATTCATATATATATATATATTTGATTTTCGTGACCGACTTACCAACGCCCTTCACATGACAACATTTCTACATTAAATCAGGCAGAAAATAGCCTTAACGCAACTGCAATTATCATATTTAATATCAGTGATAATGACCCCGTCAGCTTGCGTGGCTGGGAGGGAGGACACTTTACCGTCTGCTACCTCAAGTGCGCTCTAAAAAGAATAAAGGAGTTGGCATCGATTTTTCTGCAATGTCTCAGATGAAGATGCCTTTTAGTTTACATCGTAAATCTTACAACAATTGGGCTACAATTAATTAAGATGCCAAGCAGTTGCTATATGGGGATTTCGTTCCCATACCAGTATCTGCCTCTTGCTTGGATCAAAATTGTCCTCATTACGATCTGCTCACTAAGTTAGACCGTGCCCTTATAAACAGTCTAAACACAAACAGTGAACGAAGTGTAAACGTAGTATTATATGCCAAAGCACACCACGACGCTATTTCTTTTTAGTGTAATATGCATTTGAAGACGTCCTAGTTCAACACATATGTATGCCACATCACTTAAAAAAGTCGGCAGGCTGACAAAAAAACAAGGAAAACGTCAGTTAATGAGAACCACATGTCGCGGGAATGTCACGGTCAGTTAGCGACAATGTGAGAGGAATAGAATCTAATAGAGATGACTGCTTTGGTAATAATTTACAGCCTTCATGTAGTATTCAAGTCTGCGTGCATCTATATGGAAGTGCTTTCGCAGTGGCCAACTCGGTCTTTCACAGAGCAGCCCGGGCAATGATGTTAAAAACCCATGACTAACTCAGGCATAGATATTTATCAACAAATACTTCTGTAGGCCTAATACATTTGATGGGGCTTGGCTAAATGCTCGCGAATAACGAGTCTGTCTGTACTAGTTGGCAGTAACGGACCCACCTCCTGTCCCCCGCCTATTATGCCAACAACGAAACCTTTACAACAAATCACCAATCCCTCGCCCAATAATAAAATATCATACAAGAAACATATATATCATTGCCATGGTTGATGTGCATTAAGGCATATCTGAGTACGACCATACTCACAGGGTAAGCTATTGTTTCGCCCATGACTTGCTCGATGTTCATGTCCTCCAGATCGCCCCATGCTGTCCGTGAATTACTGAGAAGCCTCTCGCCCCGACGTCCCCCTCTCGGCTGTGCTGTTTGGGCGTGTCAGTGCATCAGAAGGCGGCCGCCCGGCTTCTAAGAAAAAGAGTCGTCACCCAAAGTTGCGTGATCAGCACGCCATGCCGAGGAGAGACATGCGGAGCTGCCTGCCTGAACCGTAGACTGTGTACATGTACTGATCAATGGTTTAAAAATACCACATTCCGTGCGGGGTCGTCTCAAAGCATCTGCTCTTGATTCACATGATTTACGAGTTCAGGTCGGCAAAGGCTGGAGGGGAGGGGGGAGGCTGAGGAAAATTGATGGTGTCTTCACGGAGGACCAGGGTGATTGATTGCCATTGCTAAAACGCGCATGGGCCTACTTTGCCTTTTCATGATCTTTTCTTTTTTTTTTTTCTTCAAGAGTTAGCCAAAAACTGAATAAAACCGTAAACTGAACTCGTCGTCATCGTCAATACATGGACTGAACACGCCAGATGCATAGTCTGAAGTTGTGAGACCTACATTTAGGCCACGGTATTACTGGGTACAATCTTAATTCAAAAGGTCTTTAATAACGGGATGAACATAGTACTTAAAACGACTTGTTCTAGAGCATATTTTTATCGTTTGTTTCAGCTTCATCTAAAGGCTGTGGAACGGGGCCAGTATTGTCGATCGGTAATCTTTCTCTCTTTCTTTTTCTATCTATCTCTTCTTCAGGTATGTATTTATTTAATTTAAAAAAAAACTTCTGTTGTGTGTGTGTGTGTGTGTGTGTGTGTGTGTGTGTTGTAGCAGAATCCAACTCTGTTAAAATGCACCTGAATAAAATGCCCATTGCTTCCGTGCTTACAAGAACTCACTTCAATTGCCCACTTTTAATTGCTTTTTGTATATCACCTTGTTCTCAATAACAACATTACGGTTGGGTGTACAAATTGAATGCACTCATAGTGCAGGTTTCTGGTGACCGGGATCATTCCCGTTCTTCGTCGGTCACGAGAGAGTATTTGTCTCTTTTATGGCTAAGAATTCTTATTTTATATTTGATGCCCGGGACAAAAAAAATCGTAGGAAAGGAGAACATTCACTGATTTTAGAATCAATACACACGCTTATATTACATGCAGAGGTAAGAAAGTTGCGAGGCTGTATTTTGGAGTTGGACGTGTACATGCGTGTTGACTGGTCTAGATGTGGCCATCGCTAGACTCCGCCCCCGTGTAACGTCGCCTAGCGTTGGAGAAACAAGGGCAAAAACGTGGTTAATCACGGGTTGTACGAGGTTTTTACGTACCAAATGCATTTTCTATGTTGTCATTAAGGCAGGCGCAGGAGGGACAGTTTTTAGATAGGATCTAACGCGAGCACATCAGCACATTAATTTGAGTTGAGCTGTCACACCTGGCAACACTTGACAACACGCGTGGGATTTGTCAAATTTACCTATTAACTTTGCCCAGTCAATGGGTACCGATCATAGTAGCAAAATATTTCATGTTACGCGTATTCCCCCTCTCTGTGTTCTTCTTTATCATGATAGGAATCAACTGCAAATATTTTTTCGCGCCACGCAACGTAGTTATAAGCATTGTTTGTGGGCACAGCCCAGCTGCTAATTCGCACACATTTCAATTCTACTTGTTATAGACTACATGTGCTTCGACCCTTACAGGGTCAAACCTCCATTGTCAATGGAGGTGTTTTCCTTCTTTTTTTACCGCTTTTCTTTTGAAATTTGTGACAGGTCCTGATAATTTTATTTAATTTGATTTAATTTGATAATTATTAAAATACATGTCCTTGTTTAAACCTGAAATTGCAAATAACCGTTGAGCAGCGCTTGTAGATAATTGGGGAGTGATCTGATGTTTTCTCTATAAAAAGGAGATCCGACATGCTCACCTGAGATAGGTAAAGTCATATCTCTGCTAGAAAGGCAACGTAGGCCCCCTATTATCCAGCCATTGAGTGGTGTGTTTAATTTCCCTGCCTGTCAGTGGGATTTGTATGCCACAGTGTAAGGTAAGACAAGAAAAGTGGCCACCATACCTGCATACGCGTATGGTCATATCTATACACGGGGAATGGAACAATGGCATTATAGAGACGATGCACAACAAATCATAGCAACTTGGCAACGTAGTTGGAAGTCGTTGGTTGTTCGGTGGTTGTTTCGTGTTATGAGAACTCGAAGAAATATTTTAGCATAACTGTTTAATAGGACATAATTGGTGCCTTTCTCTTGACAATGTTATCAAACATCTTTCATGTTGCCACTTCTAAAAGCCAAACCTGCTACTAAATGAGATCCGAAAATATACTGGTTGCCTGTTTCTGTAAATTTCCCGCAAAGGACAGACTAAAATTGTCTGCGGTAAAAATTCCCGAACTTTTGATATGACCCCTTTTCATTTGATTCGCTTCCGTGATTAATCATTCATTCACTACCAGCAGACCAACAATATGGACAAGGATTGGACTACAAGAGTAATCAGTTAATATTTAGTCGCACCCAAATACCACATACTCCCTCGCCCATTTCTAAGCTTTCTTATAAACAATTAAAACGCCAACATTAAAGAAGTGAAAAAACGGCCATAATGCAGCTATATGAACGTCTATATTCGTTATAAAACAACAGTCGTGATACTCTGATTATTGAAAAATTTTATCGTGATATTAGCTGGTCATCTAGTTCTGTATTTACTCCCACGCGCTCCCCTAGTCAACGAACGTTGATTGGGCATAAGCCTAAAGAACGCAGACCCCTGTGGCTGGTAGGGCATTTTAAACTGATCATATATCAAATAATGTCATCAGTAATAGATAAGATTAACTTGGCTTATCATAGTCGCTCTTCAGCTGCTGATCGATGATTCATCGAAATCTCTAGCATGAACTCATCGCGTTCGATGGGCGCGAACGTGTGTGGTTTAAGCCCCCTTTACACTGGACGACGTCCTTTCTGCGTCCCATAGTACGACCCCGTTTGAGAGAAAAAAAAATACTTAACGTGCTGACAACTGGCTAATCAGTGAGCATTCATTTTACAACAAAAGCAGTGCTTGTGCCTCCTTTCTACGACCACAGCGATGCCAGTTTTATGGTCTCATAAAGGACGCAGAAAGGACACCGGGTTAAATTGACTGCAAAAACTGGAATTGATATGTTTGCCGTAATATCGGTTCATTCCTTCATTGCAGTCTTTGCTGTATTTCTAACTGGAAATGGTTAAATGTACATTCGATATCCTAATAACATTCTCTCCGAATGTTCCATATTTCTGACTTTTCATATTAAATCCTATTGATACTTTTGAAAACTGTAAGAAAAATATAAACAATAAACCAAAATAACACTTCGCCGTATTCCACGACTTGTTACATAGAATATTTTTATTTTATATTTCAAAATATATCATATCATTGATGGTTTTAAAAAATCGATGTTATGTAATGCATTAGATCTTACAGTTAAAGAAACTACTAAATTGAATATGTATTTAAAATGGCACTTTTATCTTATCACAAGACTAGAATATAATAAGCGCCACTATACGCTTATATAAAGTGTTTTTGTTGAAAATGTGGCCCGTCTTGAAATAGGTCTATTTCTTCGTGTATCAACGTCATTATTATTATTTTTTTTGTGTGTGTGTTTCATCAGTCAAATGAATCCGAAAAATTTACCCTTGGACGACATCAAACGCCGTTTTTATATGCTAGACCAGGTATAGGAAATACTGTTTCACTGCAACCATCCATCGTACTCCCAGAATTTAACAAAGGGCGAGCAAGCGTCCCCAACATGACCCATGAGCTTAATTGCAATCAAACGGTCGAATTCCCAAAGATAGTCTTAAAAAGGCTTTAGATACAACAGACCTAGATCCTACTTAAAAGTCTCAAGTTTCAAGTATCACAACGTAGGGCATTTAGGAGCGATTGCAACGACCTTAACTGTTTCCAATATAGTGGAATCATGCCGGTTAATTTCCACTTACTGTCCTCGATTGTTTTCTGGGAATAATGGTATGTTTGCAGGTCAAGAAGGACGAGGAGGTGACCTAGCAAGGGCACTGACTGGACTGTTTACACTTAAATACGCCGGTTTTACATAAATGTATCGTGCGTATGCCACCACACGACCAGTTTGGGTTAAACTGTGATTCGACACGTGAGTGCGGGGTTTGTCAACTCATAATGTCACTTTTCTTACAGAGGTGATTTAGTGAACGTTATTAATATACACACATTGGACAATAGAAGTGTCATCCCCTGAATCAGAGTAATCAAATAATAATCAAGTAATCAATAATCAAAGTAGGCAGATCTTGAGTAGTTATAATGCCTGGTATACATTTTTTTTCGTGAAATTTGATGTTAATAAAATGATACCAGGAGCATATCATTCCACAGTCATTTATCTCCCCCAAAGTATTGGTTCAGTAGGGGTGGCACTTCATTGTTCATTGTGTGTGTATATATTGCAAAATTTAGAGAATCAATTTTTAATAATTGTAAAATCGGACTAACAGCTTTTCATTCAGCGATTTGCGATTAACACGGTGACAACTGGACATTTGGCGGACTTTTGGGCACTGGTCACACAACTGGAACTTGGGGCGTAGCTCTGCTGGCATTTTCCACGAATTTCCTGAAAGTAAAAAGACTCTATTTTATCAAATGACAAGTCGTGTTCTACTGAAATCAATATATTATCACTGTCGTTGCACGTGTTATTTTAGATTTAGCAGAATGCTGCATGCATCAAAAACAGTGGGCTGACTTCCAGTTCATAGTTCTGAACTTCAAACCTGTTTTTTAGCTCGATTAAATATTATCTTAACCTGGTTTTAGGGGGCAAAACACTAACATTCCTAGATACATAATATTTGCCCGTAATGTTTCCGTTCATGTAAAAAAGCAAAAAGAGCTGACTAGATTTTGCTTGATGAATCAATAATCGCGTGTTATTTCTGTGACTCAGTGCTAGTATTGTTAGAAATATCCGGCAAGAAAGTTATTTCGGAACAAAGGATATTCCACCAGGACATCACTATCATGCAACATGCGATTTGGTCAAACTATCATCAACAATAACAAAATTAAGGTGGCAATTACTCAAAGATTACATTTTCTTCTCCTTTATAAAAACTCGTGTATGAAATTAATATTGAACTAAGTAAGCGGTGTTAAATACTAATAAATACAAAGAGTAGGTGACGCAGGGGAGTATGGCAAGAACTATTCTTAAATCATCTCATCACCATCA